ATTATCAAAAACCGCCCACAAACGGCACTATCTCCTTATCTCAACCAATTCCTTAGGTCTGTGTAGGACTAGTTTTCGCTGGCATGCATGTGTCCAACAAACACAACACTGTGCGCTCCGGCTGTGGTGCGTCCTCTTCCGTCTGCCGCTGGTTGCCTCCCTTTTCCCCCCAGATATAGCTCTCCGCTGAGTTGGGGGCTAAATAAAACAGACACGCGGCGGGAGTTTTGCGGTTGGTTTTCCGTTTTATCCGGGCGAACGCAATACCTCCACTGCCGTAGTTGCCACCATCTTCGCTGTGACTGGGTCGGAAATCCTCCCCCAGCTGTTGTGGCGGTTCGGGTTGGTGGGACCAGCCTGTCAAGCAAACCACCTTTTAAAAAAAACACGGTTTCCGGTCTTGCCTCTCAATGAGGCCAATAAGCGTGATTTTTTTTAAATGCCGTTCGCGGTGACTTGTGGTCATGAAAAGACAGTTATCCAATACAGTGAAGCTTTGAAGGGCGATGAACTGTGTTTTGTTGGTTAGAGAAGATCATTCACACTGACAAAAACACAAGGTTATGTCATTACAGCCCACAAAATCCCAAAGTGAAAACAAGTGAAAGTAAACAAATAAGCTAGGATACATTAAAAACAAAATATATACAACAACGACGTCAAAATCGGTATCGATAGTAACATTAGCAATAACTGACCTCATGCTAACGTTAGCTAACTTATTTGCTAACATTACAACCATAGGATTACAACCCACAACATTCACATTTGTCATGTAGCCTATCTTACAACAGCCCCAAGACAGACTGGTCACAGTATTAGTTTATGGTTTAAAGTAGGCTATAGTTTATTGAATTTTAATAGTTAATTTCTTTTCACAAACAGTGATTCCTGTTTTTATCATCATCATAGACAATGTTAACCCAGTCAGAATTGGCCTGTGTACAGGCACCGTCAACACCGAACTAAATTTAATGCTATAGGCTACTAAATGGGAAAATATTAAGGCCTACATAACAAATTCACTGTTAATTTACTATGGTTGTATTTGGACAGTTAGTGATTCCGTCATGACATACAGTTAATATGGCTACAAGTTCTAATGATAGATAATCACAAACGGCTCTCAATGCTATGCATTTCCGATATGAAAGTTAATATTTCATTTCTTATATTCGTATTTATTTATTGAAGATAAGTGGCCACTCCGGATCATTAAATTTAAGCATAGCTCTTAAAGGCTAACTTTACTGTTAACAAGAGGTTGACGTGTATGTTAAGCATAATTACTAGCACAACACAAATGTAAATTATTTTACAAACTAACGCCAAACCTAAGTGAGTTAAGTATTTAACAAGTAAGGTTACCAAAGTGAAATACTAAACTATTTAGCGGCTTTAATTTGAAGGCAGACGGTGACCTCCGTCATCTGGCTGGTTGTCTCTGCCTAACTTGACACTTGGTGGTGGGTGCGGGTCCAGAGTGGAGCTCTGTTCAATGTGGACAATTGCCATAACTACTTTTTAAACCACCACCACTAATGTTTACTGTCTTTTCTACAGCAAACGATTATCACCCCTCACACTCATCTAGCTGAATGAGTTGCTAATGCTAATGAGTCAACCTATTGTGCTTATAAACGCTATTAATGACAGTTACAGACGTGTTTTTTGTTGTTGTTTGTTTAAGATATAATTTCTATATAAACTCTTTCACACTCAAGCAGAGACAATATTTTTTCGAGTAACGTTAGTACTGCCTAAAACTTGAAACTGTATTTTCAAGGAAGGTTTCAATTTATAAGTGCCAGTCTTTATGTAAGCATCACAAGACGTTGGAAGGGGCATGTTAATTAGCTAAACTTTGGTGTACTGATCCCCACCACACCTTCGAGCAGCGTGGACCAGTTAGTTTGATAGACGTGTCTCTAATAGGCCTAAATGTTAATGCAGTGAAGTAGGACAATATGACATCTCAGTATAATATTAATGCTTTTGAGACATGCATAAAATTAGATGTTAACGTTTGAATTTAATAGGCTACTCATAAAAGCTCAGTTATTTTAATTTATTTTTTTTACCATTTTCAAAATATTATAGGCTATTGTCAGTGCCAGGGAGCAGTAATCCTTTACTCTACTTGTTTTATGTGATAACACCTCCTAAAATTGGCAATTGGCAGTAGTATAGCTCAGTTTGCCTTCTGTCCCTGACTGAGTGAAGCAAATAATGTAGCCTAATTACCTACATCTGTCTTGTACATTGCATCAACAAATATCAAATATGCAGCTGAGGTGTGTTTTGTGCGGGTCTTTTGAGATGAGATCTGGATCCTTCACAACTCTGTTTTGAGAGTGATGAAGCTGTGCATGCAGTCCATATCCGTGGGATGTAGTTCAGTGTGATGTATAGGAAAAATATGAAATCTAATACATTCCTTTTTATTTGTATAACTAATATTTTATATTTTTAATGTTGTTAGTCTAGTTGCCAGTAAAAGCGCTCTGACTGTATTTGAGGTGAGGTCAGGTTTAGTGAAAATAACAATAATAAGACAGATAATGAAAAGACAGATGGTAAAAACACTTGCAAACAGGCAAAATGTCATGCAGCAATGGTGTTTTTGTGTAAAGGGTTTTCTTGGAAATGCGGTCTTTATATTAATAAAAAAAAACAAAGCAGGAGTGAGATGGAAAGTGAATGTTCTTAACAATCCATTTTCTTTCATTACATTGTTTTAATGTAGTATTACCATTAACTTTAGAAGGCTATATTCCTATTTGTAGCACAATATATTCTGGGATGTGTTTAATACTGACCGTAGGGAAATAGTTTTTGACATTTCCACTATGCAAATAGACCACAGAATGTAGATATTAAAGAGCTATGAAAGGAACGTGTCACTTTGGCAAAATTGTAATCTCCAAGGCCAAATATACTGAAAAAAGGAAATACCAGGAATCAGGAATAAAGAAGAATGGTTTACTTTGCCTCGGTGAACTATTACACAATAAGAACTATCCAGGGCAAATCGTGCAGTGGAAACACGTATTCATGTCTAAGGCATGTATGTATTCATAGGCTATTAAATATTCAAGGTGGTATCTGCTTCATTAGCACTAATGGACACCACACTGGCATTTCTATGGACCATGTTGTATTATCAGGTGGAATCAGTGAGGAGATGAGATTGTGAACAGCAGATGAATAGCAAGAAGACACTCAAGGTAACAGAGTTATAGTGCTGATTCAGTACTTGTGAGTGTGTGTATCCTCATCCTTTGAAGAAGCAAAGATGTTTAAACTTTGAATCCAATAAACCAAGTAAGCCTCTACGCAAGTGTGTGTGTGTGTGTGTGTGTGTGTGTGTGTGTGTATGTGTGTACGTGTGTGTGTTTGAGCTTATGTTTGAGAGCTAACAAGAGAGGCCTGTTTATAGAGATAAAGCTGCACTGATAACTGTGTTAACAGAGTGCCTAAAACCTGGGAGCACATATTATACACAGAATATGAGCTCAAACACATATTTACACAGGTGTATTCATGCCGTGTGGCGCGCGAGTGTTTGTGTCATCCTGGTGTCGTTGATATGATATTCGTATGACTGCTGTGGGAAAATTAACTTCTTGCCTTAGAGCTCAGGGTCAGCTGTAGGACAGCTGCATATTTTCTTCCAAGTATTTGAGAGAAGTACCAGTGAGGAGACAAGATGCCAAAACATACGGTGACAAATAGGCCCGTATGACACTACTTGTGAAAGGATGGATTTCCTTGGAGCTAATGTATCCTAATGACTTTAGTGGTCCAGTGACTTTCCTCTAGTGCCACCAGCAGGTAAAAGTTTTCACTTTGGCTATCCTGTGAAATATCTCAACATCTACTCGATGGATTAACACAAAACTGTGTACAGACATTCCTGGTTCCCAGATGATGTATCCTAATGATTTTGGTGGTCCCTTGACTTTTCCTCTAGTGCACTAAGGGAAAATCAATGAATGGAAAGGATGCAAATATTTAGAATATTTATGTTACTGTCCACTGTGTCACTGAAGGGGTATCCACAGGACACTGACAGCCTTGAAGAGAAAATGTTTATAGAATAACTTCGGTTTGACCACCACCTGATGTATACCTGCTATAGCTTGACAATCAGACTGAATTGCCATTTAGACACACACTCACACACACACACAAACACACCCACACTCCTCTTGGCAGACAAAAAATGTATTCAATGCTTTGAATGAACTCACACCTGACTATTAACACAGAGATCCATCTCTGTATATATACAGTATATGTAAAGATTTAATCATAACAAACTATCAGCAGAGAAAAGTAAAACAACATTCATAGGCTAGGCAAATGGATTATCACTAAATGGATTAGCGTAACGATATAATTGTGTCCTCTTTTGATAAAATACCAATAAAGTACAGTACAGTATAGTTGCTAAAACTCTTGGAGATGTTTTCTCCATGTGTTTTATTTGTCCTTGTAGGGAATTTTCTCCTTTTCTCTTCCTTTCTTTGTATTAAAAGGTAAACTTGGGCAGCTGATATAAGTGATAAAAGTTTCTTTCTTCCATGCAACATGCCATGTCCTCTGCTGATTAACACGCTGAATAGAGGCGCCTCCTGGTGGCTGTTTTCAGTCACCGCAGGGTCTAATTAACCAACAGCTATCAAAAAAACATTGTTAATGGGTGCAGGGCTAACGCGTACTCACCCAGCTGTTACACCTTTATTCATGTTACTAATCCATACAACGCTGTTATGTATGAACAAGTTAGCCTGCTCTATTTTATGCTGAAGGTTTCTTTACTCCAGAGCAGAGTGTTGTGAGGATGAGAGCCAGTGCTTTTTGCTTGTGTTGAGCCTATACATTACTGCATTTTGGGGCTAAACAACCAAAAGATATGAATTATGCATTATATCTGTGAAAGAGATTTTATCTGTAGGCTAATTTCTTTGTGGCCTTACAAAGGAAACCAAGCCTGCTGAAGTTTTGTTGTTGTTTAATCAAAAGAAATCACTCAAAAGAATGACAATTACAAACAGACCTAAAAGAATGAGAAAAAGATGACATTTTTAAAGGAAATGCCCACGTGGTGTGCAGCCGTGTTGAGGTAAAACTAGCAACTGTTCAGAGGGCTGAAAAGGCCCAGTTGGCATTAAATACAGGCTTACATGAACAAAAAGCTACGATTAAATGACGGAGTTTTGAGGAGAATTCCTTGGTTGTATTCAGTCAATTCAGTCTCAGTGCAGAGAAGTGTTAAAATAAAACTTGTTTTTGTAATGAACGTAGTATATAGTACAATACAGACAAAACAATGACAGTACAGTATACAATAGTGCAACAGTGACAAAACATGGTTGAATCACTGCTAAATAAAACACTACGAGAGCACCCTATTTCATTGTCCCACCGTTTAAAATATGCGCCCTGCCATGATAACTACACTTGATTTAACTGTAAAAACACAGCACAGCAGTTTGACTGAATCTTCAGACTTTACAAACAACACAGAAGACAAAATTTACTGCATCACTGTAGGAGTACAATCACTGCTGGCATCTTACACTGAAGAAAAAAAAACTTTACAAACTTGAAAACAGTGAGATGTAAGAAGACAATCCTTCTCTGATTTCATTAACTTGAAACATTATATAAGAAGAGAGATGTTTTTTCTGTTATCATGTTTTGGAAGTTTGTTTCACCTGCAGACATTCATCACGTTTTGCAGACATTATTGGCTTCAGAAAGTTGCTGACAAGCCTCTTTTTCTGCAATTCTTTCTCTACAAAACCTTCTGACCTACCTAAGTATCAGGAGGGTGCACAGAACAGTGTGTACCAGAGAGTTGTTATACAGTCATAGAAAAGTATTTAAAAATCTGTTGGGTAAACTTCTCTGTCATCTACAACTTATCTGAACTGTCCCAAAGTAGTAAAAGCCACCTGGCTGGTACTCCATGCAGGTAAAAACAAGAAGGCCTATTAAGAAATATTCTGACCCAGGTCTACTTGGTACATCTTTGCACATTTCCACTCTCGTTCTCCCTGACTGCTCGGTCTCCCCATTGCTAGTCCTGAAGATCACAGCAGCAGGGATTATTTCAGGAAACCCATCTACCCCCTCTGTTCCTCATCCTGCGCCCCTCTCCTCCATCTCACTGCCTCCTCCAGCGATTCTTGGGTTTCTCCTCACACCCGGGACCCTCGCAGGTGCCAGGGAGTGGAGGCGGAGGTGTTGGCGCAGCCTTCGCTGGGGCAGGCGTGTCTGTGGCCTTGCTGACACTGCTGAGCAAAGCTGGAAGCTCGTGCGAGATGGCCCTCTCGATCTTCTCCAGCAGGCAGCCGCCGGTCCAGCTGCAGTGGGAGGAGAGCTGCTTGAGGCCAGACACCGGGTTCACACCGAAGAAGTCCTGGTAAGCCTCCTTGTTGGGCAGGTCAAACTTGCTAACGTTGGTTTTGGCCAGAATGGATTTGAAGATGTAGTACTTGTCCGGGTCATTGACAATGTCCTGGAACACCTCGTAGGGGTCGCTAAACCAGCCCAGCTTGTCATAGTAGGTCTGGAGGTAGCGGTCCACCAGCAGGGCGTGGATGCGCACACGGATCCCATGCTGGCGGATGAATGCGATCTTGTTCTCCATCTGATTCTCAATCACCTGCAGGGCAGAAGAGACGGAGGGAGGGAGAAAAGATAAACAGATAGAAGAGGGAATCACAAAGACATACAGAGAGGACTCTACCTCATGAGTGTACTGAGCTCTTGAAAATGTGGTTAGGATGAATGTAGCTGGAGTTTAATGAAGCAAACACCAAATCCAGATCTAAACTCAGGGAATCATATTGTCAACAGAAGCAAGTCATACCTGGTTGAGGTCCTCCAGCAGAGAGCTCTCCTCCTTCATGAAGAGCCCTCGGCTAGTGTCCATAGCGTAGTCCTGAGACCAGAAGGAGCTGACGTACACCCGAGGAGGCTCTGTAACATTGATCAGGGGCGCCATGCTCCAGAACAGGGCTCCGTAGACCCTCATCAGGTCCTGTGTGGAAAGGCTGTCGGCCTTGTTGAGGATGAGGCGAATCTGGGACTCGCGGCCCTTCATCTGCTTGAAAAGCATCTCCAACTCCCCACCCACGTCCAGCTTAGTGGGGTCGAACACCAGGAAGATCAGATCAGCTCGGTCGATGAACCATTGGCAGACCTCACTGTAGGGGTAACCTGAGGGAGAGGAGGGAGGAGAAGATAAAATACAAGAAAAGAAAAGTTTTAGATATAGGTAATACTTGTGTTGTTAATGGGCATTCTGGTTCAGGAAATTGCACATACAGTTGTACAGAGAAAATCTGGTGGTTTTCTGTAAAGATCCCTCAGCAGGTTCAAAACCCAGACCTTCACATTATACGGGTTTTCGCCCAATATGCTACAAGTTACACACACTGTATTGTGACACACCCATTAATCTGAATTCCTTGTTTTCTGCACAAAATCTTAGTGGTACCTCTATTATTCACTGCTATTCACTCGGTTATTCACTGCCTAATGATGCTCATGTCCGTTTGATGTTGCAGATCAGTGATTGAGATGTTCGATTAATTGGACTGCCAAAAAGAGCAGCTATTTTGATTAAATAGAAAGTTTCAACTAAAAATCCTATCGTCATAGATGTTGTGTCAAAAGCGTTTCCTTTCTGGCAGGCAACACTTTTAGCATGACAATGACACAAACAAAAGATTTTTAATATTGTCCATCTGCAGCTTTGACATAAAAATATTTCCATTAGTAACAGTCACCTCTCTCCTGCTGCTTGCGATTTTCAATGATGCCTGGCGTGTCAACGAAGGTGACCCTCTCCAGCAGCTTGTGGGGCATCTCGATGCCCACCAGCCGCTCCAGGAAGCCTTGGCCAAACTTCTCCAGGGGTGAGAAGGACCGGGAGCTGTCTGCTGCCATAACGATGCCCTCAATGGTCCGAGACTTCTCTCCGTGCATTATGACTGTGTACTCTGAGGTGGTGGGCTCAGCACCTGATGGAGGGATGAAGAGGGAAGGATTAAACACAATTTATATTGTATTTAACTGATATTTCATAGAATACATAAGGTAATACTTTACTGTACTAAAATAATTAATGCTTAATTCATTTTGCCTTGACTAAACATGTATTACTGCTGATGTGTGCTTAGGTAAGGCTAAATTAGTTAAGCACACAATTACATCTTCATATTTTCTGAGAACTAACAACAGCTAATGTTTAATCACTATCAATACATTAATTCAGCTTATGATGAACTATCGTAACAGATCGACAAAGATTTCACTCACAATAAGTAGATGTTATGGATCATTATTTGTATAAATTCTAAATTAGAAAAAGCACAATTTTTGAGTTTTGATGCTACTGCCTGGTCTGGTATGACTAGTAGCTCATGGTGGCTACTATAATATATGTTTGCAAACTCGATCTTACTTTACTTTACTAATTACTTTAACTAAATAGATATTGCTGTGTAACTGACATTACTGCATCACTTTGCTAACTTTAAGACTTGTCTCTACTTGTGTTAGTGTTACACTATGTCATAGAATGTCATAGATAATGAAATGTTAAAAAGCAAAGCGAGAAGCTAACATAGCCCACCTCACCAGGAGACATGTTTATTGTGTGGTCCCTCACTTTCAGTAACTTTGCCTAATGACAATATCTTTAATGTAAGTGAAATGTTGGAAAATAAAAGTGAATTTCATTGTGTTGCACAAGTTACATTTGAATGAAATTACAGTAAGTGCTGGGCATTGAATAAACATGAAAAGTAAAAGAGTGAGTAACTTAAGCAGCTTTTTTATAAATGAATATAATGAAGAATCATCATCACTACTCTGGTGATTTACACTTGTTATCGCTGGATAATAGCTGTGTGTCTGCTTCTTTTGTGTGCTCTCACTTACAAGCTATGTCACAAACAATCAGGATTTATCAGAATGAACCTGTGTAGAGTCCCTGTGAGGTGCCGTCAAGACCCAGCAGGTAGTTGATCATGGAGGACTTGCCGACACTCCACGGCCCCAGGAACAAAACCATTGGCTTAGAGGTGACCTCGCCGTCTGCACAGTTTGTGACAAACACAAGCACCGAAAGAGAAGGTTTGAGAGAGAGAAAGAACCAACCTGGAAAATTTGCTTTAGAAAAAAAGTATTGCATCATTAAGCCATGTGGAGCTGCAACAAATATCTTGTTGAATGCAAGGCTCCTAATTTATTACATTTTGGGTTTCAAACACCTCAAACATGCAGTGTTTGCATAATCTCTTGAACAAAGCCGAGCTGTGTTTGGTGAGCTGTAAAGATTTCACCACATCTGGTTGATGTTTGCGAATCTGTTGATCTCTAGATCCATACAACACATTTGCCGAGAAAAACTTATCTCAACAAGGACTGGCCAGACTTTTCGCCTGACACTCCATGCATTCTGATTGTGTACACGTCTTCCCATTCTGCACCACAAGGGGTCTCACAGTCACAAGGCACAGTTTGAAGTCCTCCTCCTGCTCCTTAGCACACAAATAATTCTCCCTGCCCTCAAGTGTGATGGAACAAAGTTGTAGGGAGTCTGGCCCACACACCTTTCCCATTAATTTTCAGCACAGAGTCCTTTTTGTGCTTCTCTGTGTGACTGGTTTGAATAATATCAGCTCCTGGCTCTATTTCTTCCTAATTATTACTGCATGGTGCGGTGAACTGATACAGGTTAAGATTAAGGTTAACTGTTGGATAATGAAAATGCTAAATAAGCAAGTATCAGCTTGCTTATTTATAATACCATTATGCAGAATAATGATATATTTTGTGGACTTGGTACCAGAGTTGTGATGCCTGACTAATACTCACAACAAAATGTCAAGGGGAAGGATTTGAAATACAAATGATCAGAATTGTTTTTTGTTATTATTATTTCCAATTGTACACTACAGCAGTCATAAAACATAAACAGACAAAAAACGGTTGCTGATGTGGGCCTGCAAGCCCGTTGAGACACTGTTGGTGATATTTGCCTATGCAAACAAACTACTGTAAATGCTTCTGTACGTGCGGTTGTAAGTGTAACCACCTATTGGAAGCTGTTTTACCTGTGACTTCATGCTGCCTGAGCTCATTGTACTTGTAGGCTTGCTCCATTGGCTTGATGGCAGTGTGGTAGATGTTCAGCAGCTTCTTCATAGCAGCTGGAGAAAGAGTGCGAAAGAGAGAGAGAGAGAGAGAGAGAGAGAGAGAGAGTTATTAATGTGCTTGCTACTATTACCGATTACAACAATTGCTTTGGCAGTACATGATGAATCGCCCTCATAAAGTTTATTAAATCGAGCTGAGGTGATTAGGCGACTGGCTCTGTTGCAGCACTTTGGCCTCTCTGAAATGAACCAATCTGTTTTAAAAGAACAAAGAGGCTTTTATGCCGAGGACAGAGTTACGCTTTTGCACTGATTAATCACCTGCCTCAAGACATGTCTGCACGCTCACACACACATACACACAGGCATACATAGTATTCACAATCTCACATAGCAGCCCCAGGACCTAGACATCATGAAGCAATTTTCAGAATGGGTTCGGCAGAAAAGTCCACAAAATTGTCTCAAACTTCCTTTCATTCACATGCAAACACATCTGGGGGGGGGGGGGTTCCGTTGAGAAAGTAGCTGTAAACAATCATTTCAATTCAGAACTTCAGGCATTTCCGCAGCAAAGTTCAGAGAGACATTTGGAACATCCGATTTTTGATCAGTAGGCGGTGTTGGTGGGAGTGATGCTAGTCTTTCACGTGCAAGGAGAGAAATTCAGACCTGCATATTATCTTACACCACAATTTTTTTTAGATGTCTTTGTTCCTTACCTGAAAACTCTGCTGAGGGTTCAGCAGCAGCCAATCGCAGCGTGTCCTCAATGTGGGAGCGGTCCCTCAGTGCCAGGCCTGCTGATAATGGAGGAGGAGGATCAGACTGTCAGACATGCATTCACCTGTGACTGCAGTAATGTAGTAATGCTTACTCTAAAAGTGTGATATAAATAAAGTTTATTATAATCTGACAAAGAAGACCTGGATTTTATTTTGGACACATGTGACATGACACATGTGACATGAACCACATTCTCTTATCCACTAAAGCTGTCAAAGACAATTAGTAAAAACTTACATGGCATGGTTACAAAATAAATGTGTTCTCCCAGGTAAATGGTTTCCCAAGCTGTGTGACCAGACCAAAACTGTTAAATCATGCTGTTGTCCATCCATCCATGTCTATTCCCTTCCTCTGCTAATTTTAGGGCCCGATCACCAACTGGTGCAAGGGGCTAAAGGTGCATGAACACTGCACACATGTCAGAAGTGGCGAAAATGTACGCATGGCTGTGACAAAATTGCTCGAGAACGACCCGTACAGAGCAGCAGCATGTTTCATCTAGTTGTAAGAAATCTGGGAAATAGATGTATCATCTCTAGATCCACAAAAAAGCGCCTCTGGGAGCCATAACTTGATGAATAGTTCATTAGAATGAAATTGCTAGCTTAAAAAGACAAAGATGAGGATAAACACCAGTCACAGGTGTCTCTATTAATGGCCTTTTACTACTCTTTATAGCATTTATGAATGATTTACCAACCATTAATAAAGCCATTAATTACAACTTAGAAACAACTGATAAAGTATGCCTTAGAGAGTAGATGCAGATCCTTAAACAACACCAACATTGATGTAAAGTTTCCAAATTCTTCTGGATGTGTATGTTTTTTCAAAATATAATAATAAATATATTATAATAAATAAAATAAAATTTCAAAACGTTGTGTTTTGTCATCTCAAATTCGAACAAAAATGATTAGTTTGTGATCAAATGAAAAATAGTTTTTGACAACTGATATTGAACCAGTTCAGAGATTACAGAATAACAATAATAAATACAATTTCTTCTATATATGTGTATATCCAGTTTGGTCAACAGATACAGTCGTCTCAACTCACTGGTGACAAAGCAACAAAAACAACCCAGTTTTATCTAAAGTCTAACAGGATCCCTCCAGGGAAACGTTTAAGTTGTACCTGTTGAGATGACTACAGAAAAGATTAGACTTATAAGACCCAGGTGGTGTTACCATTTTGTACCTTTGGTTTGAGACTGTGCAGGCTCCTCTGCAGTCACCTCCACCACTGTCATTTCATGCGCATCAACAGGTGCCTCCACAGGAGCCTCCTCCGCTGTGGTTTCCACTGATTCCTCTTCCACAGCCACATCCTCTACAGATTCTGGTGTGACCTCCACTACAACAGGCTCTGGCTCCACGATCTCTGGTTCTGGTTCAGGCTCTGAAATTACCTCAGGCTCTGTAACCACTTCGATCCCAGACTCTGCGGTCACCTCCGGTTCTGAAACGACTTCAGGCTCTGGCTCTGCAGTCACCTCCGGTTCTGAAACAACTTCAGGCTCTGGCTCTTCAGTCACCTCCGGTTCTGAAACGACTTCAGGCTCTGGCTCTGCAGTCACCTCCGGATCTGAAACGACTTCAGGCTCTGGCTCTTCAGTCACCTCGGTTCTGAAACGACTTCAGGCTCTGGCTCTGCAGTCACCTCCGGATCTGAAACGACTTCAGGCTCTGGCTCTTCAGTCACCTCTGGTTCTGAAACGACTTCAGGCTCTGGCTCTTCAGTCACCTCCGGGTCTGAAATTACTTCAGGCTCTGGCTCTTCAGTCACCTCCGGTTCTGGTTCATCTACAGATTCTGCTGTCACTTCTGGCTCTGTTTCCTCAGGTTCAGGGTCTGTTTGAGGAAGCTCAGCTGCTTCTGGTTCAGATTCAGCCGCTGTGACCTCTTTCTCAGCTGTGTCCTCAGCAGTGGTATCTTCCTCCTCTGCAGCCTTGTGTATGAAAGTTTCCACACTTTCCTCCTCAGCTGCTGCCTCTGTATCCTCCTGTGTGTCTGCTTCTTCTTCAGCAGGTTCTTCCTCTTCTGCAACTTCTTCCTGTGGTTCATTCACTTCCTCATCCTCATGGGACAACTCCTCCTCTGCTTCTTCCTCTCCTTCCTCAGTTTTCTCCTCCTCTTCCTCAACCTCAGCTACTGTCTCCTCCTGTTCCACTTCCTCCTCCACTGACTCAGCCTCCTCTACAGGCTCTGTCTCAGCCTCCTCCTCAGATGTCACCTCCTCTTCTTCTGCCTCTTCCTGGGAAGCTGCCTCCTCCTGCTCCCCTTCTCCATCACTAGTCACCTCCTCAGTGGAAGCTTCCTCCTCCGCAGGAGCTGCCGCTTCCTCCTCCTCCACTTCATGCTCTGAGAAGGAAGCAGGCTCTTCTTCAGTGTCTAAAGCTGATGGGGGTTTGCAGGGCTGGCACATGGCCCTCTCTGGGGCCGGGGTGTCATTGGAGGAGCTCTGACTGGCGTGCTCCTCTGTTGCCTCACATCCACAGGAGAAGAGGTCTCCCTCTGACTGCTGAAGCTGCAGACGCACCCGAGGCTCCTCATCATGGATGGAGGAGCCTGCCAAGAGATCTTAGAGGAGAGGAGGAAATGTGATTAAACAAGATAATCTCCTGCGCTGGTGTCTCCTTCCAAAAACATTTCAGGTTATAAAAACATTTTGAAAGTATGAGAGTCTTTGATCAGTTTAACACCAAGACAAATAAGATCTTGGAATAAAAATGTAAAATTCATCCTTCATCAGAACACTTCATCATTATCATGTTCAGAAATAAACTTTCTGGACAAAACATATGCACGCACCGTTTACATTCCACCTTATTAATTAATTAAGCTTGGGGGAAAAGTGTGTTAAGTGAGGATACTTATAAAGACTGAAATGTTTTCTTCAAAACAATATGCATCCATAAGGCTGAAAAACACGAGACAAAACAAATGCTTTGGAATGTATTTCTGACCAACCAGACTGCACGGTGTAAACTAGCTGGACATCTGCAGACCAGTCACCTTTGTTTGTTATGTCACTGCGCAAGAACAGTGCAGATCAGATGTTCTCTACCTCCCAGATTTACGACTCAGATTTCAACTCCTTGAATGGTGACACTAAAGCATGGACTATTTGGGGCAGACGTGCAGTGGACAGTTGTGTAGGAATCTAAAAGAAGCCTGAGCTGAGTGGACAGCGTGGCTTGGAATAGAATAATGTATTTATTATCATTGTATAAATACATTACTGTTGTCATGTTTTATGTAATTAATTAATCAAAATGGAGCTTACCGCATAAACAGGTCACACTGCTGTGTTTCTACTGTTCAAAACATCCAAGCCACTGGAGAACGAATGAATTTAGGCTTAATCCTTTTTTCAAACATGTAAACTTACTCTCCCTCATGTTTTCTATTTCAAAGCAATTTTAGTGTTTCAAAACTCAATCTTTTTGGAATAAGGAAAAATCGGTTTAAGCTGTGCAAACACAACTAAACCCAAGCTGAAAGCTGTAAGCGTGACAGGTGCGAAGGCCAGCACAGACAATTACTAGACTACTACTCAGTGTTTCTCCAGAATTACACAATTTCTTTGTCAGAAAAGATACAGAAACTGGATTTAGACCATGAAAACGAAACATTCTAAAAATCCAAAATACTATAATGCTAGTTCTGGCAATAATTCGAACAACTATGCAATAAATGTACTGTACATTATACTGTATATGTTACAATCTGATTCAGTACTTCTATTTACAATCATAGTCAGTGCAATGTTCAACAGGCACAGTGACTTTCTACACTTACTTACATTAGTGGATGGTGAGATTATATTTTGAGTGGTATAATTTTCATAGACATAAAGTTTACTTTTGGCAAAGCCAAAGACAGTTTCATTGTTTCTCTCCGGTCAATAAAATACAGGACAAGATATTTACAAGCTGCTTGCACACTCAGTCCAGATAACATCCAGGTAAGCGTCACCATCCCTCAGCATCATATAGCTGATTACAGTTTTTATAGCACATCCACAGCTAAAACAGGGAACTCCCCACACCACACGCATACATACATTAGCTACTCTTCACAACCACAGTGTACAAAGAGCACTAGGCCATGACCTCTATTTAATTATAACCGTCCGTTCTTAAGATTGAGGAACGGACAGTACACAGTGTGATTTGAGGCAGCTAAATGCATGTCTACAGTTCAAGTTACAAGACAGGGTCAGCATGTGGGATGAAGACTAATAGCCGTGGGCAGCTGTCTGGGGTTTTACACGTCTGTAAGGCTTCTGGATCAGTCCCCATCATGAGCAATCAGGCTAATGCTAAGGAAGAAGCTAATACATGTGCTGATACCTTTAAATACTCTTACACTGTTAAACCTGCAGTAACTTGGTGAATGTGAGTCGAATATTCACTCTCTTTTAGCTCTGTTTCTGTCTACACCAACCCCTTTAGTTGCTACATGATCCACTATTTTCACTATGTTGAGGACTGAGCAGGCAACATAAGGGGAAACACCTGTGTGGGGGGTTGTAGGGGGCTTTAGCAAGTTGGACTGTAATTAATCTGGACCAACAAATCAGAAGTGAGTCAACAAGAAAAAGGAAGTATTGTGCAGTACTAATGTTATCCTTACATTTATAGTAATTTGTAAAATAAACAATTTATTACGTTATAGCTTTGAGTTCATATCATCCAGCCTTACCCCAGAGGACAAATAAAAATATGTTTTTCAGCTGTGGATTATATGTAACTTGAATGGGCATTACCAACAGCAACAGATCTTTTCATACCAAAGACTTCGTCTTCATGTTGCAAAGAAAAGCACTGGTAAAAATGTATAAAATAAAGAATGTCTTGTTTTCATTTAGGTGTCCTGGTATTGTGCATGCTGCCTCACTGGCATGGCATACTGAACCACATAAATGGAACAGAGCCCTCATTAGTGTAATTATTTACACCTGTGCGTTTCATGGTATGACATTTCAAAATGTCTGCCATCAAAAAGTCTACAGCACTAAAACAAATACATATATTTCACATTAATTCATTTAACTGACGCTTTTATCCAAGGCGACTTACAATTACTATATATGACAGAGGTCGCACCTCTCTGGAGCAACTAGGGGTTAAGTGTCTTGCTCAGGGACTTATTGTTTCACTGCATGTAGCAGTTAATTGTAATGTGAATGCTACAAGTAGAGTAAAACCAGTGGATTTCCTGTGCTTGGCAAGGCCATCACTGATCACAATGGTAATGCGTTCAAATTGGCTAAAGAGTCCAAGCCTCAAATCAAAATCATTCAAGACATAACAAATTAGATCCAGCAGAAAATTGGAGGTTTAAGGGTCTACCGATATTTATCAAGCCAGGTTTATTCCTTCAAGGGTTATTTTGACAGTTTCAGGGAGAGATGGTGTGAGAAAGAGAATATTCATGGTGTGTACCCCCTCGCTGTCATTGGCAAAAGTCAAGGTATGAGCCTGTCAGGCCCTTTGTGCTGATGAGGAAGGTGCACGGTAATACTGTTGTGATCGAGCCACAAGGGAGGTTTGGATGCTGTCCAAAGACATAGTGCTACAGCATCGTCTGCGTTGTAACATGAACAGCAGCAGCAGCCAAGATCTTGAAGTGTGTTGGTGAATATGGGTTGCCAAAATTAAGTGACACTGCATAACAAGATCCGTCCCCAAGATCCGTCCCCTAGTGTCCATTTACTGGTTTGTTTATGTTATAGTGAATAAGGTAAATGTGCTAAAGGTTGTGTGAGTTAGGTCTCAGATTTTGATCCATTAATTTCCTGGTTTATGTAGGAAGCAGATATTTGTGCACCTTGATGCACAATGCTGTATTTCTACAGTAGGTGTTAAATGCGCACACAACATTAAAATGTATAACAACTGATAAATAGTTATGACGATAAAGTGGAGAGATCATTTTCTGCTGTGCTAGTGGCCAATCCATGGTTAAATTAAATTAAAGTTAACATAGTTAGGTAAGATTAGAAAGTAGTGGCAGTGGAGGAGGGAAACATGAGAGAGAGAATACAAGTGAAAATAAATTGGGATCTTTGAGACATATTAGATTAAAGAGGGGACGTTTTAGCAGACAAATGCACACAAAACAATACATTACTGAATTATTTGGGAAGACCAAACAAGCAGAATCCAAAGTAGGTTTTCTGTTTTTAATCACGATAGCATCGTGGGTCTAGGCACGGCATTGTGGGTCTTTTGGTTAGTCTGTCCATCACTTTGGTGTAACCTGACACGTCTCAACATCTACTGGGTTGACATTCAAATGAGGATGAATACCGATAATGTGGTGATCCTCTGACTTTTCATCTATCATCTAGCCAAAAATTTAATTTGTCCAACATGTCTACTTTGGTTTATGACCACATACCTGCAAAGTTAATGACATCGCAAACATTCATCCAGCTAAAAATTGTCTAAATTATTACTCTCAGTCTCTTAGCTTACATGTAAATATTTGTTCCCATGGCCCTGCTGCACACAGGTCAAACTGCAGTCTTGTGGACTCATGGACACCAGATGGCATGGCCACTATCACTTAAATGTGTTTTGGTCTCCACCAGCTACTGGGGAAAATATCTGGCTCTTTAGCTGCTAAATCCTAGATTAAGTTCACCAGCTGTCTCCAGCTTTGTCTGTCTGCTGCTTTGATGCTGAGCAGATAGAGCACAGTTCTTCTTGGTTGAAAACAGCTGTCTGCTTTGATTGGAAAAACAGTTCAGTTCCATACACAGTCATTTTTGTTAATAAAAAAGACATTAGTTGGTGCAGTTTTAAATATGATCCTCATACCTGTCTTACATTTATTTGCAATGTCACTTTTGTAATTTAAGTAGATTAGATTTTTCTGAAAACAAAAAGTATGTTGTGTGATTATTCATGCCTGGGCAGAGCATAGTGTCGTGGGGACAGAACGGGACAGGTGCCTGGGTGCTGGTTAGTACATCTTTGAGACAGAAATAGTCCCACAATGAGTCAGAGGGTGAAAAGAAGGACGGATAATTCCTCTCCTATTTTCAGGAAGTGTGGCGCTCTCTTCCTCCTCCTCGTTGTCAGGAGGCTGGTCTGCAACTCTGCTGCACTATTGCTCCCATTCCCTGCAATATCGTGTAGCTGTGAGTGACTCAGTATCTCTTTAAAGACCGGGAACGATAAATGCATCAGCACTAGCACTGATGACAGGCACCCTGCTTACTGTGTAGCCGTTTCTAGCCGTAAGTGCCTAAAGTGCACAGGAATGCAAACATGCAGCCAGCAGTGGCTTTGCATTTCTGGCTCATTTAAAAGGCCTAAGGTTAAGTGGTGTGCTTTCTAATTTTTTAAGTCTACACAACCTTTTTAAGCTCTATTTATCTGTCATAGCTGCAGCACCGTTTCTTTTTGCATGTACACAGATAAACATGTAAAACTAACCTATTTATCTCATCACTGTACATTATATTTTTCTCAAGTGCCACACTTTCTAAGACATGCCCACACTCACACAAATCTAAATTTAAATTCAAATCTATTTATTTCCATTCACTTCAACTTTAATAGCATTTGATTGTCTAGTTATGTAACTTTAAACAGTCCAACTGTTTGACTTCTGAACTCTGGTCCCTGATCCTACAAGCCCTCCGCAGTGGTCTCTCATGCCTATTTTAGCTGGGACAACCCCTTGACATGGACCCTGCTGACTGGAATGACAAATTAGCAGCTCTGCAGACAGGGCAGAGCGGGAGTGATGAGGCTTTATTGAGACATTTAATGCAGCACCGACTGTAGTTCTCTGACTTTATGATGGTCTTGTCACTTCAAGCACAGGCGCCTGAGTATGTCTTTGTATGTGTATATAATGTAGATGTGTACATAGATGTATGCATTCCTGAGAGTCCTAAAGAGATGTGTATTCGTGCGTGGCATTGGTGACCGCAGTATCTGGTGACTTCATCTGACTGACACCTGACACCTGACCACGGCAACTTGTGGAGGCCAAATTGAACCAGTGCAAGGACAGACAAGGGTATTCTCTGCCTCTACTTTAACCAAGCATGACAAGTCACTTTAACAGTCACTGTCAACTAGCAGTCAACTGTGACGTGTAAACCTCTATAGTTTGAATTATCTATCACTAGTGGCAAAGCTGCCATTTCTGATTTGCTCTGTTTAAAAATGTATATTCATTCATTTGACATGGAGTGAAAGGTAAGCCTGTAAAACATCAAGTGGCAAAATCCCACTTGAGCACTGACTGGTAGAGTTACACACGCGGGTGCAACTGCTGTGAAAAGGCCGTCAAACTGAAATAGATCCAGTGGGAAAACTAATAATTTCAGACAGCTTTTTCTTTGGCTGCAGCTGCGAGTGTGACTCTCTGTAGTGAGTCCAAGAACACTCTGTCAGTGCTGCCACTTTGTTTCTCTACAGGGCAGAGACAATAAGCAACAGACAGGACAGTTTCCATCAGCTGGTGTCGCACCTCAGGCCTGACTTTTATACTTGTATAAGCATGACTCACTGGACTTTCCCAGCCCAATCAACTGAGTTTACCTCTGCTGTGGTGTGTATAGATGTCCATCAAAATTTTGGAACGCATTACAACCTAACTTTTGCAACATTTCGGCCATGAAATACACACACTGGCAGGAAGCAAAATGATCAATTAATAGGTAATAAGTGGCACAAATTGCATTGCACATGTATACAATTATCATATAGCTCAACAACAAAAAAAGATACTGATCTTTTAACCTTTTCTTCAGTGATAACTTATAAAATCATTGCCAACAGTCAACTCTCAGCGACACATACAAAGCTCTGTGTTTAAAGGCACAGGCTAAGTACACACTGTATGTAGCTATCCAACTGGAATCAGCATTTACATTTCACACACCACACCTAAAATACATCCAGCAGCGCTCAAATCATGAAATACTTCACCTAACCCCCAGTGCCCTCCACTCATACCTGCAGCAGAAAGGGCCAGCAGAGACAGCAAGCAGCATACAGACAGCAGAGACTTCATTTTGGCTGCCAGGGGCCTTTACCTCATCTCCCCCAGCTATATATACTGCTCTGGCTGAAGGTCAGAGGGCAAGCCAGTGGAGGTGGCACCCAGCAACTGCACCCGCATCGGCCATTGTGTGTCAGAACAGCTGTCTGGCCCAATCAGGAATGTTGAGAGCAGAAAGAACTGGCTGGGCATGTTGTGGTCTTGTACTTTTATCACTTATTGTGTAAAAGTCATTTACTTTAAGAGTAGATTGTATGAGCTCATCTGTACAACTTTTAATTATCAATACCATCAAGTAGTGTATTTATTGCTTTCTACACCAACATGATAAAGATGATAAAAAAAAGAATTTCCCCCATGTGGAACATGCACATTTTTCACAGCTGGGGTTCTCTAGTAACTGTGGTCTTACTAAACTGAGGTCTGTGTGCCACCTGTGTTTATCAGAGCTGCTACAAAATTAGAAGTCTCTCAGTGTCACCACCTGGTGGACAAAAGGTTCATTATCACGCACATCTCAAGTAAACTAAGAAGCAGTGGGGGTGTAATAAAAAAAGTACAAATTTTTATTTATTTTTTCATCCTTACAAAGGCCTGTTTACACAAGTTTTTATAAACAAAATATAACAGCTTCTCATCTACCTCGACTGATGGGAAAAAACAAAAATATAAATCACAAAATATAAAAAAAAACGCTTGTCACCAAAAGTGGAAAACAGGACAAAAGAGATGAAAAGACAGAAAAGCAGAACACAATAAACAGCTGTTGGGTTGTGTCACAGCAAAGAGTTTTAAAAAAATAAACAATAAATGGCAAAATAATATCTTCCTCATCATTGATTCAGGCAGTAGAGAACAGCAAGTGCTTCATATCAAATATCTCAAATTCCACCAAAAGACAGCAGTGCTGCAACACAATGTACAGAAACAATTGAGGGGAAAGCGTTTAGCTGACAAATAAAAAACCTCAGCCTAAATCCAGGCTGTGCTTCACCATTTATCAGCTGAACACCAAACCCTTTAACAGAGTTTCACAAACAAAATATAAGAACCCCCCCCCATGTTTGGCATGAGAAATACTAGTCTAGCAGATATATAATATAGATGTCAGTGAGTGAATAGTGTCCATGCATCTCACACAAGACAATTTCACACTGAACACATCAGTCATGTGTTAATGAGAAAAAAAATAATAAAAAAAACGGAAATCAGGAAGAAAAAAAACCCCCAGAAAAATAAACAAAATGTCAAAACAAAAGCCAGCTTTAGACAAGAGAAAATAGCAATTAGTAACATGCATGTAATTGGCAACAGAACATATAAGATACGAATCCAAATAAAAGGAATGTTTACAGCATCAAGTCAGCGTATCAAATCGAGTATGACAGGAGGGAGGCTCGAAGCAGGGATTTCCAGTCAAATTCCCGAGAGAAATATAAGCATTGAAACATGAGGTGGACAGACGGTGCATTTTAGAGCGAGATGGGGATTTGGGGAGGGATCTGCAATTCAGTTCAGTGCTTCTCATTTGAGTTTTGCACTTTTTGTGGCATTTGATGCACTGAAAACATATGTTGATCGATCAATATGCGCTTAGTTTTCCAACTAAAGCTGTTGATCTGATGCCTTTTATGTTGGAATACAGTATGTGTTGTGAAGTTTTTCCCCCTCTCAATTTATGTGAGCCATCCTCACAGTGAGACAACACAAAATGTGCTGCCATTTGTAATCAAACAACTCCTCCCTGCTCCCCAAGCAATTCCAAGATGTGGAAATGATACATATCATTTTCACAATTAATTCAGACGCACATACTAATACGTGATCAAGTGGGGCCTCAACTCACTGCTGGTCACAAGAGCACCAGGTTGACAAAGAGCACCTTGCAAGTAGAGACTACATTCTTTGACACAAGCATGTCAAGTTTCATACATATACTGTAGGTGTAATGTACACACCTATCAACGGTGCATAGACAACTTCACCTCATGTATAATTAATGACACCAACAAATGTACGGAAGATGGAATTGCATAAATACCAAAAACCTCTAGTGCATAGTCACTGAAATCAACAAACCAAGACCAGAAGATAGATAGATTTTAAGTTGTTAATCTCAATATAACAAAATGTTCACCTTCGACATTCAGTAACCCTGACTCGTCAAAAAAAAAATCGTCAAAAACATGAAAAACATTAAAACCTAAAGATGATCATGTAAATTTTTTAACAGCTTATTTTTAAGGGCTTATTTCAATATCAAAAACACAACCTTTTTTTTTTCTTCAAGTAAATCCGACATAATTTCATTCAACATCTTTCCTCAAATTAGTTAGATTTTTTTCCCGGACTTTTTAAATTTAGAACTGCCTTTTCTTGCAGTTTAAGTTGGGTTTTCGTGGCCACTGGCACTAGAATATCACAGAGCCAACCAGGAAAAACAAAACTAGTTAAGACTGGGGGAAGAAATGACAACTCCATGTGCCCTTTCAGAATCAAGAGCTGCTTCCTTATCGTGTTGTTACATTCAACTCTCCATTGTACTGACTCCATCAATTTGTAGCACAAATAATACTGTCAGCGCGCCAGTGATGACAGGTAACTGCGGTACTGTAAGTAGCAAACATAAACACATAAAGGACGGACTGATGCTGAGAGCTTTTTACACAAGGAGACCCTCAAGTTTTCAAGTAGCCACAGACCGTCTCTGACACTGAAAAACAGCCTCTAGAAATCCCACAGGGCCTCCTCTGCACACTGACCATCCTATGTTGTCAAACTTCAGAGATTTTACAGTACAGGACTGACACAGAGCTTAACCACTGGATTTAAGAGTTTGGATAATGCCAAAGAAAGATTTCTTTTTTTCCTTCTTTTATTTTTTTTTAAAGTAGTCAAGCTCCTGGAGGGAATATTACAGTGAGTAGGTATTTTAAGTGTTTGTTGGTGTGTGTGTGTTGGTGTGTGTGTTGGTGTGTGTGTGTGTTGGTGTGTGTGTGTGTTCATGGAATGCGATCAGTTCATTGAACAGTCCTCTCCCTCTGTGTCGGTGTCTGTGTCTGAGCAGGCGGTGTCCATGGCGACGTGGCTGGGGCTAACGATGACCACTCGCCTCTGTTCCTCCTCGGCGCTCGCTCTCCTCTCCTGAGTGCGTTCGATGTGCTGGATGGCCTGAAAGCAGACGTTGACAGACAATGAAGCAAATCCTAGCTCCACTGAGAGGCAATTCTTGTTATATTTCCACTATGATAACTTAAAGCCCCCCTCCAGTGTATTTTGACATTTCTATGATATTTCATATTTTTCTGAGTCATTTCCTTACAATGCTGATTACTCACATAGTTTGCCAAATATTCTTTGCAAAATAGCTTAATTTTGTGCTCAAAGTTGCTAGAACGGTGTGGTGACGTATGACTATAGTAATTCCTTAAGTCATACGTCATTTTCCAAGCTTACGCAGACACACTGTTATGCCTAGTTTAAAAAACTATCACGCCCCGTTAAGCCTGAGAATCAAAATGATAAATATAGTTGAGAGCTAGCTAACCAATTTATCTTATATTTTAATTAGAACTTAGGTATCCTATGTGTCTTTGTGTCTAATGGTCGGTTCGTCTTTCTAGTTTAGTTAGCCAAGTTAACAAAGTTGTAGTTAGCCAGGTGTATTTAACGTTAGCTAGCATAGTCACTGCAGAAAGTTGGCTAACAGAGTATTTTTTAGTTTCCTCCTCCTCTTTCCTCTTGGTTTAGTGAGCATTTTCATTATGGCATCTGTGCATGCGGTTTTGGAGGATAGTTGACAGAAAACGCGTGGCACTTTCACCTGCCACCGTCTTATAAACATTCTGCAACACGCATTTTACTGACGGCCGTTTCACCAATACATTGGCGGAGGAAATGGTATCGGAAAGCCTCGAGCTGAGGAGCAATGCCATCAGCGTTGCTGAAAAGGTGAGTTGTGCACTCAAATGATTTATTCACACTAGTGAACTAACGTTAGTTGACGAAGTAAAAACCTTTATTAATTAACATGACATGTTGTCTGTGTGTGAGTTAGTATTACATCCTAATAATGAATTAATTTCAATTCGTGAGGCAGGTTTGAATCCAGCCATGGGCTTCTCTATTTGGAGTGTGCATGTTCTTTGAATTTTCAATAAGCATCGACACCACAAGTGTGTGGCTTCTCTGCTTGTTTCAGTCAACTAGCAGGTCATTAATACGGAGGTCCTGAGAGCTCACCACACTGAAACCTACAGTGGGTACGGAAAGTATTCAGACCCCTTTAAATTTTTCACTCTTTGTTTCATTGCAGCCATTTTCCAAAAATCAAAAAAGTTCATTTTATTTCTCAGTAATGTACACTCAGCACCCCATCTTGACAGAAAAAAACAGAAATGTAGAAATTTTTGCAAATTTATTAAAAAAGAAAAACTGAAATATCACATGGTCATAAGTATTCAGACCCTTTGCTCAGTATTTAGTAGAAGCACCCTTTTGATCTAATACAGCCATGAGTCGTTTTGGGAAAGATGCAACAAGTTTTTCACATCTGGATTTGGGTATCCTCTGCCATTCCTCCTTGCAGATCCTCTCCAGTTCTGTCAGGTTGGATGGTAAACGTTGGTGGACAGCCATTTTCAGGTCTCTCCAGAGATGCTCAATTGGGTTTAAGTCAGGGCTCTGGCTGGGCCATTCAAGAACAGCCACGGAGTTGTTGTGAAGCCACTCCTTCGTTATTTTAGCGGTGTGCTTAGGGTCATTGTCTTGTTGGAAGGTAAACCTTCGGCCCAGTCTGAGGTCCAGAGCACTCTGGAAAAGGTTTTCGTCCAGGATATCCCTGTACTTGGCCGCATTCATCTTTCCCTCGATTGCAACTAGTCATCCTGTCCCTGCAGCTGAAAAACACCCCCACAGCATGATGCTGCCACCACCATGCTTCACTGTTGAGACTGTATTGGACAGGTGATGAGCAGTGCCTGGTTTTCTCCACACATACCGCTTAGAATTAAGGCCAAAAAGTTCT